TAGTCAGAGGAAGAGTGTTGGACTTGGAAGTAAGGAGGAGAAAGTACTTGAGAATTTCAACTATAATTCACTAGGTAGCTCCTGTGACCCCATTTGGGATTACAACCCACAGTTCAGGAGACTGCTCTAATAATGGAACAACTCTTCATCAAGCAGGATTATTTAAACAGCTGCTTTCCTCAGATTGCCAGGGCGATGTGGAAATTTCACACTGTTACCTGAGTCCAGGTTCTTCATTTCCCTCCTAGGGAACATGCATTGCAATTAAATATAAAGTAGATTGTCCTGATACTATAATGGGCTTTGCAGTTCTATAGAACCCATCTTCCAAGCACAATGCTAACTTTAAGGAGTGAAGCCTCAAAGCCCCTTTTATTTGAATACATGTTTACAGCCATTTCAGAGAAAGGAAAGTTAAGCCAAAGAGACATTAAGAGCAGAGCCAGTATTCTCAAATATGAGTGCCTAAAGCTAGGGTGCTTCATACATATATAGGAACCCAAGGGAGTAGCCTGATTTTCAGAAATGCTGGGCATGCACAGCACCAATTGAGTTTGATTAATTTAAAACCTTTGTTTCTCGTCAGGCACCCTAGATGCAATGTGTTGACCTAAATTGTATGTCTAATGCCATGTAATAATGAGAGAGCAAGGAGTAGGTATTTTTTTTGATCCCGTAATTTAACCATATTCCTTTATCCACTAGCGATATGAAGTCAGTAGGAAGTTGTGCCTCTGCTATCAATAGAAGGATCCAGGCCACTGCTGTGTCAACTGAGTTAGTTGCAGTAGCATTAAACTTAGAAATCAGAAATGGTTTAACCGAATGTCAAACACTAACAATTGCTGGCTAATACCGTATTCCAAAATCCTCCCTTAAACCCAACAGGTAGGAGGTGGCAAGATCCTTTATGGTCACAGATATGAAAATTGGACATTGTCTATCAAATGAAATCCACAATCATCTGCAACAAGGCTTAGACTTTAGTATGAAGAGTGAACAGCTCCTGGGGACAGTTCGAATTCTTCTCCCAATACACATCAGTCACTCAGTCTGCACTAGTTACATTTACTCTGCTCATATTACATTTGTTCCCAGCCTGCTTTCCCCTTGAAATCTGCCCCTAACACATACAAAGGATGGAAGCATGAACCTGTTTGTGACAGACAGCATAGCATGTACTGAAGTGGACTTCTTCATAATGGGCTTCTTTTATATACAATGGACTGGCAATATTACAGTAGAACAATCTCTTCTCTAATTAAAGCTGTCAGATTCCTCTTTTCACTTGGTTAGTTCCTGTTTGGGGAAAGGGTTAGGATTCTCTTCAGCATGTGTAATGAGAGGATTTAAAGAAAAAAAATAGACACGTTAATTTAACCTTTACACCCAAACTGGTGTGAGTGCTTACCCAGAAAAATTTAATCCTGTGCTCTATCCAATTTCCAAAGTGCTCCTGCTTTTCACTTCTCTTATTTCACTTCTGGGTTGGCTATAGCCCAAGGAGATCAAATCACCTCCCCAAGGTCAAAAAGTGTGTGTGTGACCCAGCCAGGATTAGAACCCAGAACCCCAGTTCTCTGCTCCGGGCAGCATTATTGATTTACTAGGAACTAATATTAATACTGCTGCCCTCCCTATCAGTACAAGTGTTCCTTACATAATCTCCATGAGACATTTAAGATCTTAGTCTGCAATTTTCAAAGATGACCAAGAGAGTGAGGTCCCCTCAACCTACTGACATTCTATGAGAGCTGCCTCCCTTGAAAACAGAGATCGTAGTGAAAAGCCTGGAACTTGAGCAAACAACGCAACCAGCAGTGCAACAGGTGCATAGGTGCTGAATACCTTTAAAAAGTGACTAATAGCCCAGCAGTTCCCTTCAGGCTGCCCTGCCTATTAGTTCAGCCTGCTTTGCAGTCACACTGAACTAGCTGGGACAGTGCACTGCAGGAGAATTCTAGCTGCATATCTGATGACTATGTGTGGTCTAATGGTCACAGGACTGGGCAACAGGAACCCCGGTGATTCAATCCCAGCTGTGGCACTGACTCACTGTTTGACAGGCTTTGTTAAATCTTTCCATCTGTGGGGTGAGTATAATGATATTCACCTGCCTGGCATGAGGATTAATATTTGTTAATACTTTGAAGATGGCAGGCATTATGTAAACGGCTAAGTGCTACTATTATTACTTTCTGGGATAAGAGACCAATGTTATGTACACCTATTAATAGGCATTTACAGTCAAGTGGTTTGAAAGGCTATGATCAGATATGTGTTATAATCAACCTTCATGTAACACCTTTCTTCCTGAAGGATCTTCCAAGGAAGGATCAGTCTGACCATGGTCTACAGATCATTTTCTGCACCACTGAAATGCAGGTAGATAGTGGGAGCCACTATGTACCAGTGCAAGCAACAGTCATTGGAGGTGGGCATGGTTTGAAGGTGGCAGCCTGGAGAACAGCTTTCCCAAATGATATCATCAGGACCATGTTTCCAGTTGACTGGGGGGGGTGCATCTACATGTTCATTAATGTGCAGTAGTTACTGCACATTTCTTTCATTTAGTACTTGCTTAATGAAGTACAAACTAAATGTATAATAACTACAAATGCAGCGCAGTAGCACCAGTGCACCATTTTTTAGTGACACTTACTGAGCAATAGCCTAAATACTGCACAGTAGCGTATTAGCATGGTTTTTGTCCGGCACACTACCGTTCAGTGTTATTGGGCTACTGTGCATTAAGTATCTTGTTTAGCTGCACCCTGGATGTAACTATTGAAGCTGCTTGGGCTTGCTTCCATGCAAAAGTTTTATCAGCCATACCAAGATAGTTATTCAGGTGCTGTTCTACAAGTGTAAACCTCCATGTGGACAAAAACTTTTCCCCATAAAGATAAAGCATGTGGACTGGATCCAGCACACAATGAGTTTGGATCCAGCCCATGGAGGCTGGGGGAGATCAGCAGCAGGGGCCACAGAGGGGTCTTTCCCAAGGTCCTTCTCCCTGCTGTATGCTGTTCTTCTCAGTGCATTCTTGTTCCATGCTCCACCTCTCACCTGTGTAGTCCCTGCTGATGACCCAGTACTATCTACCCTCACCACCAAATTTGCCCCCCAGCACAGCCACTGGCCATAAGGCTCCGTGGTACTTGGTGACAACAGTCAGCCAAAAATGTGGGGGTAGGGAGTGGGATGAGAGGAAGTGAAAGAGCAAGGAGTGCTGGGATGGCAAGTGAGGATTGGCAACCTGCAGCAGCAGCCAAATCCCAAACTGCTGCTCACCATTTATAAAGGTCACTAGTCTTTCTTAGATGACACAGAGATGGGCACCAGGACAAGAAAGCAGGGGGGAAGGCAGAGACACGTTAGAATGTAGCCTAGACACTGGTGTGAATAGTCCTACTCCCCAGGAAAATGCCATGGGAGCTATAAATCTTGATTCTGAGGTATTCTTTAGGACATTCAGGAATAAAGGGTTGTTTTGGAGGGTCCTAGGTAGGGCTATATCCTAGAGGAGAGTTGGGACTTGTGGAGTTCTCATAGGGTCACTCAGAAGGTGTTAGTTCTGGGAGGCAACTGATCTGTAAACTGTAGAAAAAAGCTTCCCCTGCCATTCAGGTGTTTGGTGCCAAAGCTGTGAAGACTGGTCATACAGACGCTTTGGTGATCCTACCCACCACCCACCAACTATAGAAGGCAGCAGTCACAAGAGAACAAGCAATGCTCCCTAGAATGCAGGAAAACCAGCCACCGATAACAATAAACCGCTTTTATGTAACGCTGCACCCCCTCAGGACCTCCGGGAGGTGAGTAAAAAGGATTACCCTCGTATTCACGGGTATTGTTCTATCATTGTGACTGTGTGGACACTGCTATAAGAATAGGTTATTTAAAGAAAGAGACATGACAAGGTAAAGTAACTTGGTCCATAGCACACTGAGTCAGGGGAGCTAGTACCACACCTGGGGATCCCTTAACTCCCAGTACCACACTGCTGCACCAGAGAAACCCTTTTGCACACATGCCATGTGTTTCTATGTGGATGGGAGAGAATGGACTTCCCCACATGCCCCTGTTCTGCCCTCACAAACTGATTCAGCTAGTCAAGAATCTGGGTACGGGTGACTGGGAGGGAGAGGTTAGCTCAGTCTCATCTTCGCCAAGAAGCATGAAGTGACTCATTCCTTGGGCAAAACATGGCATGGTTGAACCTGAGGTTCCAAATATGGTACAGCAGATCACATTGGGACACCAGGGTTTACCTAGCCAAATGAAAGAGGTTCATAGGTTCATAAACATTAGGGCTGGAAGGGACTTCACAAGATCATCGGGTCCAGCCCCCTGCTCAAGGGCAGGAAGTCAGCTGGGGTCAAGACAGAGAGAGACAATTCAAGTTCTATTAAATCCTATAACTTGATTCTAATCATGGTGTTGTAAAGGGGGTTTCAGACACAGGTTGCATCATAACGAGATGACAGGAGCATAGCAAGGGCAACCTGAATGTGTGATATAAATGAGGGCCTTGTAAAACAGGCAATTACCCTCACATGAACTGCATCAGTGAATCTAACCCCAGGACAAAGTGATCTGCTACTATTTCTTGCTGGTCTGGCATTCAGGGTTCTGCTATAGGAGGGTTTCTTGCCAAGTGCTATTTCTTATATTTTTCTTTGAAGGAGTCAAGCTGCAGTTGGCAGTATCTTTGATTGAGATTTATATATTTATCACATAAATTATATACATGATATATATAATTATATCCCTGTCACTAGGGATTCTGATGAGTCGTGACTAACCATCAGGTGTCTGCAGTGCTGCTGTGCAGTAATGCAGCTGGTTTTTTGGTGAATGCACTGATGTCACCTGTACCCTTCCTGTATTATCCATGGCTAATTTTTTACTATAAGAAGGAGCCGATTCTACCTGTTGGAAAGTAAAGACTTGTAATATGAGGACACACAGATTTATGGCTTCTCATATACACAGACAAAGCCAGTAGATCCCTAGAACACATGGGCCTAAAACAATCCTCTCCACAGAAGCACTGCGCTGTTCCTACAGGGAGAAACAATACGGGGGTGTCTAGGACTTCAGGGCTGTCACTGAAGTGTGTCACAGTCATCTAGTAATCGATAGTAACACTAGGTTTAAAACTCAGAGCCACCCGCTCCAAAATCACAGGCCCCAACTTACAGAAACCATACACACAGCTGAGCAGCTCTGATTTCATCTAAGTGTGATACAAACCCACACTGGCCAGTTCACTTGCTCCTCTACTTAAATAAGCTCATCCTTCAGTGGTAGGGATTTACAGGATTACTGGTCCTACCCCTATCACCCACTTTTGACTAATTTTAGCTTCTTGATTGTCACCATGCTGAACACCAAGGATCTGGAACTCAATGGCAACAGCCAGGCTAATTTCCTTTTTCTCCTGGAAACAAAAATCCTTACAGCCTGAGTTCTGGTGCAGCCTGTGTGGGGACGTAGCATACATATAAACAATCCAGGTCTTCAGAGTACAGAGAGATCGAGTTACTGGATTTTTCTGTAACATGGTATGTGACCATAGCCCCATTTCACCTCTTCCATTCTAATAATAAGCCCCAACATTTATACAGCCCCTGAAACCTTAAACCCAGACAAGCCACCTTACGTGACTTGGCAGCTATGCCGTCACATCTGTATACAACTAACCTACATGTCCTTTTACCAAAATGACACAACCAGATAACCTGGCTAATTGTGCATCACTGCTTCTCAGGAAGACATCCCTCTGTAGCTGCCAATCACAACCCATTTACAGCATGACTCACTCCATAATATATGCAGCTATAAAATATGCACAGTGCAGCTACCCACATGACAAGTGTACAGTATAATCTGAACCAATCAGGTCCTTGTTTATGATCTTTTCAGCACGGCAAAGACGACCTTTATTTTATTCTGATTTCTTTAAAATGCATGCATCCATGCAGAGCTCTGAGTTCATGGGGATACACCAGGCTGATGTAGGAGATTGAGGTTCTGTCTAGTGAAAAACTCCATTAACAAAAGGGTCTGTATCTTGGCAGCATCCCATGGAGTGGCTCTTTTAGTCCAAGTGGTAGAATCTTCTCCCTTTGATGCTTACAATCCCACGTGCAAATCCCATAGACAACTGTTGTATCTGTACACATGGAGCAATGGTTAGTTATTCATGAACAAGCTTTGTGACTAGGACCACTCCCTTGCATGGCTCATTTGCTAATCTTTGCATCTGCCAGTCATTTTCATGGGTTTTTCTCCTACAGTTTCCATCCTATCACATCAACATCCAGACAGAGCACCAGCATCACACAACTTCAATAGCTACCATACAGTTCATCCATATGAGGAGCTCCATTAGACGCAGCTGGAGCAGCATTTGTCCTGCTCAGTGTGTCTTTGCCATTTCCCTCCGCTGGTTGGAAGTAGCCCTCATCTGTAATTTGGGGAATGGGCCCATGCATCAGGTGGTTCTGGATTCCATGCACACTCTGGCTCCTAATTTAATAGCATGTAGCATCCCAAAAGCTGTGAATTCAATACTGCCATATAGAACAGTTCCATTTTTCATGTTCACAAGTGCTTGCAGGATGGTGGCTTGATGTAGATTTTTTTTCCTGATTCAAAAACATTAATGCCCTTTTGTTCTCAGTTCTGGTGAACCAGTTGTTCTCATGTACAAGTCATCAGTGGCTGTGGCAACTCTCCTGCATGCCAGATCTAGCACTCAGACCCACTTTACATACCAGGTTTTGTCATTTTAATCCAGTAGTTACAGTTTGTCATCTAACACTGTACCTTAAACCAGCCAGCATACCACCTGACTGCAGCTCAAACCTTGAAAACCACTAAACTATTAGCTCTATATGTTTTCAGTTATTTCCTCTTAAGTCGTTAAGATTTCTTTGCATGAACTTTTTCTGCCATGAATCTGAAATATTAAAAAAGCATAAATGTAAAATGCATTACAGATGAGCCTGAGCTTCCAGCACTGGATCTTGATGCAGAATAACTGACAGGAAAACAAGCTGTATTTTGTAATGTATGTTGCTAGTTTGTGTCTCCCTTTCCACAGCTCAGATCAGGCTTGCATGTAAAAGTTGCCAAATAATTCTCATTAAAAGGATGAACATATTTTCAGTGACATATGTCTGACTGACTTAACTTACTTGGCAAGGCATTGCAATCAGCAGTACCAAAATAATATACAGCTGGCAGCCTTTATTCAAACACACCTAGCAAGCTAAATTAACTTTAAGGCTATTAGATGATGGCCTCACCCTCCAGGAGCTTAAGGTCATCTGTAAATCCTTGAAGTGTTAACCACTCCCTTGGCCTTCCTTGCATTATATTCACCATGACATAGGTAGTTCCTCGTTCCTTAGACATATGCAATTCGAAACGCACTAGATGGCAAGTCACATGTGGTTGATCTCTGTTGCACTAGATTGATTTGTAACACAAAATGTGAGAAGCGTTTTTGTGAGTAGCTCACCACAAAAAATAGTCAACAAAATTATAACCAGAGACTTCCTTCCCCCTCAGAGATGAACCAGTGGGGAAGAAATCTCTGTGAAATTCCCCTTCCACTGAATAGCTCTGCTGCCTGTGTAGCATGGACCACAGACCATTACATATTGTACTTCCTACAACACCCTATCTGCCTACCCATTAGGAGCTGGATCCCTGTCAACCTCTCAGTGTTGGGTAGTAAAAAAGGAGCCATTGGGAGATCTTGACCTGCCAAAGCCCTAGTACAGTTCCATCCCTCCCTATTATTCTTAGTCTAGGCGCTCCCTTTCACTTAATAGGGGCATTGGTACAACCGCATGACTGGATGTGGGACACCATGTTATTACTGGGAATGCATGAGCACTTTCACAGTGTTAAGCACTGCGCTAACACAGTACAGAAGCCTGTGCCTTGAAGAGTTTCAAATAGAAGCACACCAGACAAAAGAATTCTTTTCATCCCTGTTTTACAGATGTGGAACTGAAGTGCAGAGTGAGTCACCCAAGTTCACACAGGAAGGCCGTGGAGGAACTGAATGTCAAAGAACTATCCCTGTGCCTTTACAGACAGAAAATCTGTCTTGCTTTGCCCCAGGACGGACTTAGAGAGTGCAGTGCTGGTAAAAGCACAAGACAGCCTCACAGCGGTTGCTATTTTCTGTTTTCACTGAGCTATTCAAGTTAGCTGCTGTTCCTGGCTCCCTCGTTTTCTAACTCGTAGCTTCTTCAGTTTCCTACTCTGCAAACATTGCTCCGGTAGCCTTCATTTGGAATTTGCTCCCTTTCATATGCCTGCTGCTTTGAGACCCGCAGTGCTCCAACAGCAATGCATTACATTAACAGATCTGTATTTACCACGAGCTGGTATTTTAAAGCCTTTTTTTTTTTAAATATGAAAACATAACACCTTCTCTTGCAAGTGCCAGCTGTTGTTGCAATCCCACAAGCTCAGCCCCCTCAGGAAAGGTTGACAATGTGACTCGAATTATGACAGCTAGGCCACTGTGGGGGTGTTTCTCTCTCTCTCTCTCAGTCTTATACAAGCAGGCTTTATTTATTTATATACTTCCTTGCTACAGAGACCTGAAATGGAGTCAGCAGCACAGCACAAAGGACCTCCTGGCTTGCAGGTCCGTTTGTTTTAACCCATAAGGGGAAACACCAAACACTAGACAAAGGAGAGGCAGCAACAGCTATTTCACACCCTCTTCTCCAGCCGGCGCTTTGGATTCTTCTTCTGGAAGGGTTTCAGGACACACACAGGCACACGCACGCTGGCAGGGGCGCGAGGCCAGCTCTGCCAAAGCAGCCTCTGAAAAAGAATGATTTTAAAGCTGACCTCCTTCCAGGGCTTTCATTTATCTTGACTCGTTTCAAAGATTCTGTTTTTTTGTTGTGGTTTTTTGTTTTTTTTTTTTTTAATACCAACGTCCCAACAGCTATGACCAACACGAACCATCTCCCAATACAGAAATCCCCTCCCCTTATGGGAAAGGGTTTTTGGGGTTCTCCATCCACTGTTGAACCAGGGTCATCCCTAGAGCTGAGGTACAGCTGGCAAAGGGGTTTGGTGGCATCTGGGGATTCGGACCTGAGCATGTGGAAGCTGATACTGGGGGAGGCGATTTCTATCCTGAAACAGTGTCTGCCACAGGGAACCCAGGTGACTGCGGGGCTGGTTTCCTATCCCTCTGGTTATAAATCTATGACCTACAATCCCCTCACTGTTTTCCCTTTTGTTGTCCCCAGCCATGAGCCACTCTACCATTTTGAAAAGGGGAGGTGCAGATATTGAGATGCTTTATCACATATAAAACAACACATTTTTCTCCAGTTGAAATAAGCTAGAAGCTGAACTAATACACTATGGGCCTAGGGCTGTATTATGGAGTTTAGGATTGAAGCAAAAACAGTGTCACGTCACTGGAAAGAGATCAGAACAACCTGCCAGGCTGTGAAGTAGGAGCTTCGCTCCCAGCAGACAGCAGCATGGCAGAACAAAGGCTAGCTTGACTAGTGGACCATCAAGACCATTAAAAAAAAGAGAAGGCCATTAACATCTGTGGAATGAAGTTTAGGAGAGATGAGGTAGACTATAATGAGTTGTGAAGTCACTTGACTCCCTCAGTGCTGCCTGACTAGAAAAACTGCCAGGCAGTTGGCATTCAACTTTGGGTGGCGCAGGAATCAAAGCCGGGTGCCAGTACACTGGCGCCCCTCGCCCGGATCCACCCCCGTCCCCACTGCTCAGGTGTCAGGTGTCCTGAGGGAGGCTTATGCTTTTCTGAGTGCACTGAGCTGTGCACACCCTGCTGCCACACTCCCCAGCCCCACGTCCCACGACCTCCACGGGCAGCTGGGGAAGGCAGGGAGGGCAGCTCCCCGAGCCCAGCGCCGGCGGGGAAGGAGAGGGGAGGGAAGAGGCGGCGCCAGCGCCCAAGTGTCCAGCTCCCCGCGCTGGTAAACAAAGCCACGTGTCCCTCCCTCCTCCCTCCTCCCTCCCCGCGGGGCCGGGCCAGCGCGGCTCTTCCGGCAACAAACCCCGCGCCAGCCCCGGATAAATACAAGCCGCGGCCGCTCCGCGCGCACAGCACACCCACGCCCGCCCGACGGGACTTGCCGCCGCTGCCGCCCGCCCGCAGCCATGCCCTTCCTGGGGCAGGACTGGCGCTCGCCGGGGCAGAGCTGGGTGAAGACGGCGGACGGCTGGACGCGGTTCCTGGATGAGAAAAGCAGCAGCTACGTGAGCGACCTCAGCAGGTGACGACCCCGGGGTTGCAGTGCGGGAAGGCAGGGGTTCCTGATGTTGGGGGCAGCGCGGGGTGCGCCCCGCGGGGTGGCTCTGGGCGCTCGGCGTGCCTCGCGCCCGGCGCCCGGGGTCTGGCATCAGCCTCCCTCCCACGCTGCGTGGCGAGCAGCTGTCAGCTGGGCCACGATGGATGGCTCCTGACTCCCCTCATTGGAGCCCTCGATGTTTCTTGGCCTGGAAAGGAGCAGAAAGCGCGTTGTTTTGTAGAAAGGCTTAACCTCTTGGAGCCCTCATCTGCTTGGTGTTTGTAATACATCACCCTTTTTTATCTCCCCATGCCAAAGAAAGGCGAGTTATTTCAGCGGGGATTAGTTGTGCAGGCAGGGCTGACTTTCATCCCCTGCCTGGTGGGGTGGTGGAGGCCGAAGACCAGAGGTTGCAGCCTGGCTGGCGGCGCTCGTCCCAGCGGCTTCTGGAACCGGACAGCGTGTCGTGGGTTTGTCTTTTTTTTTTTTTTTTAAGAACCAAAATGAGGAAAACGGGCAGGATCTATTTTTAAACACTGGGGCCTTTGTTGTGTGTGTTTTGAAAGCATAGCTGACGTCAACTTGTTATGGCAGGCGCTCCTGGTTGATGGCTCTGGCATAGCCTTGAACTTGGGCCATTAAACAGAGGTCTGCTTTTGTTTATAAAAGCCTCCCATGCACAAAGATAGTGAGTTGTTTTAACTCTGCTTTATATATACTGTGAAGGAACAATATATTTTTGAAAGCCATGTGGGACGTGAAACTTAACCCTCCCTCCGCTGTCTCTGTTGTGCCCCGTGGAGCCCTGGGCTCTCCGCGCATGTCTTTTGGTCGTGCTGGTCTCTCTTTGCAGCATGAGAGATTCATGCCTTTTGCATCCTGCCTGGGAGGAGAAGTCGACCTCAGTTACCATGGCTAAGGCCAAGCACAGCAGGAGAGGACAGTGCGGCATCTGGAATTTATTTACCCTGGAAAGGTTGGCTCGGGCACAACATCTTGCTTATTGTGAAGTCCTCTCCTCACTGAGTGATCGGGGTCCGGTATCCTTTACAAGGTCACATGATTAATCGGTCAGAGGCTTGTGATACTTTAGAATCCGGTGTTTGGTTGAGTTTTAGGCAGCCACAGCAATGAACCAGGTGTCCACAGAGTGAAAGGAAACTTGATAATCTAGGGACAAATTTAGTCCTTCTGAGTATCTTTGGGAAAACACCTGCTTGGAACAGGGCTGAATTTACTCCGTGACTTTGCAGATTTTATCCTGAGGCTTTTAAATCTTTGCCACCCCTGTGAACTTGAGCCCCGGGTCCAAGGACCCCATCGTAACCAGTTCTGTGTTGCCTGATCTCATGCTGTGGAGTACCAGTGAGTCATCTTATCTGCTGACGTTTCTGTTCCCAGTAGAGTAAGCATATAAACAAAGATGTAACGTCTATTGAAGATGGGGATTAATAGGGCTTCTGATTTGGGTAAACATGGTGGGCCTGACTTTCCAGCTGCCAGGGGTGCAGTTCCTACTGACTTTGGAAGATACCTACATTCACTGATGAAGACTTCTTGGCCCACGTGGGTTCTGTACCATTTCTGGGCTGTCACCCAAGTGTGCGAAGCTCTGCCTTCCCATGAGATGATAATCTACAACTTAAATCAGAGAAGGGGGTGGATTGCATTCAGGGACCCACTGCACTTTGGAAAAGTATGCAGCAGCATCAACACACAAGCCTTGACCCTGCTTGCACCAAAGAAAATGTCAAAGCTGTCATTGAGTCAATGATGCAGGATGGGTCCCTGAAAATCATCTGGACCACTGCCAGCTTTGCTGGGAAACTTCTGTAATATCCCTCCCCCTCTTCCAGAAGAATATATGTCCTAAGACTTCCTGGTTCATGAGAAACACGATGCCTTTGCAGCTATTAATCTTTCACAGATCGTAAATAATGTTCCTTGTGTAGCTTGATGACTCTGAATGCAAACAAAATGTTCAGGCAGTTCAGCTGTTTACAGTGCTGCAGAGATGATAGGCAGGGAGACTTTGGGTGTGATGATTGCCAACGGCCAAACTGCTCGTTCCAGAGCTAGGCTCTTGATGCAAGGCCACCCATTGTCCTTATCAGAGCCTAGAGTGAGGGTTATGTAGACCATGATCTGGACTGAAGATGGGGGTGGAAATATTTCTTTGCACACAATCATGATGAATGTCACTGAAGCTGGCATACAGTAAGCATGATTCGTCTGTGACCTGCAGGCAGAGTGGGGTCTCCCAGTGCAGCAGATGTTCGTGTATTTTTGTGAGCTCCACCAAAAAAGAAAGCTTAGAATCCAGAATGTCTGCCGTGCACCTAGGAAGAATGTCAGACCTGGTAAATGTAATGGCTGTCGACTGTAGAGTAATGAGCTTGGTGCCTTCCTTCAGTTCCTTCTGTGGATTTTCATGCCGGATCAGACTCAAGGTCCATTCAGTCCACAGTCCTGTTTGACAGTGGAGTAGGCAGATGCAGATGGTTATCCCAAACTACCCCCAGCCCTCCCCAGTTAGATTTCATCAACAACTGCTGTTACGAAGATCTCTGATTATAGAGGCATTGGGTGTCAACTCTGGAGTCAGGGGTGGGTTGAGATTAAAGGCATAATGCAGGACTAAGATCCCTCTGTTCCACGCTCCAGTGACTGAGTTTAATCTTGGTGTCTGGCACGCTAAGCAGTAGGGATGGTTGCACACTCTGTAACTTTCTTCAAAAGTTGTAACTTTTTTTCCTTTAGAGGACTTTTTTTTTTTTTCCTCCTCCCACTCACTCACTCACTAAACCACTGCAGCTCGGCCTTCACATGCAGGCTAGCTCCCATCTCTGACACAGAGCGCTCTTAGCCAGCTATCAGGCACCCCATCTGAGTTGCGCCAGTGAAATCCTCGGGGCAGCCTGTGAGCTGCGTCTATGTGAATCCTGACAACATGACTCATAGTTTCATAGTTTCTAGGGTCGGAAGGGACCTGAACAGATCATCAAGTCCAACCCCCTGCCTGGGCAGGAACGAGTGCTGGGATCGTAATACCCCAGCCAGATATCTATCCAACCTCCTCTTGAAGACCCTGAAGATGGGGTCATTAACTCTGCTCTTCACTTAAGATGCTGGAAAGCTTAGGAGGAAAATGAAGCAGTGCAGGGCTTTGAGGTGCGCTCTGAAAGAGGTTTTAGTGTCAGAGTGGTTGTGGGGAGCCTCCAATTCTTTCCCTTCCTCTGTGTTCAACCTACTGATGCCTCAGGTTCCTGGGGGAGTTCCTCTTCCCACTGTTGGACCCACTCTGGACCAGTATGGATGTGTCCGAATAGAGCCCCTCCTGTGGTTTGCTAGAGGAAGATGTTGCTTTGGGAGTAAGAGTTTGCCTTGCGCAACATTAGTCACGTAGCTCCAAACTGACCCGTGGAAGAAGAGGAAGCTTCTGTCACTTGGTCTCGCTGCACAGCCAAGTGCTGTGGAATTTGGAGTAGCTGATAGCAAACCTTCCCCATGTTCGTGTGACCTACTACTACCCTCTCTCTCCCCCCGGTTGCAAGCAAGCTTAGGAAAAGGAATACAGCCAGCGGACCTATATTTAGTGAGATTCTCTGCGTTTTGTTCTCTTTTGAGATAATGTAAAATATCTTTAAACGATAAGCCCTTGGAGCGTGCCCTGTAATGGTTAAGCATGAACTACGTAGGGCAGGAAGCAGCCTGACATCTTTGTCTACTCAGACGAGACTGCTTATTTATGCGCCTCTCGGGCAGGAAACTCGGCACATATTGCAAAGCTGTTATCTGAGCCCTGTAACCATCACGAGTCTAGCACCTGACTAGGAGCAGGGACAGGTGCAAAGGTGCAGGACCGAAAAGCAATGGTGACAAAGCAAAGAGAAGGAACAAGCCTGGACTTTCAAATAGGACAGTTTTTTTAAAACCTCCCTCCTTCCCCATGGCAGCTTGTATCCCCCCAGATGGGGTATTTGTTTGCTTTTCCTCGAGCTGCCTGCCAGGGTGTCTCTGCTGTCCCTGGCACCAACTCTCTGACTGGTGTAGTGCCTTTTCCACTGCTGCTTACGATGACGTGAGACTTCCCTCTCCCTGCTGCTCGCAGGGTCCTGAACAGCAGTGCTGACACTGTCCCTTCTCCATTTCATGCTGCTGCTTGACACTCTATAGAGTTACACAAAACATTTAAAGGCTTGATCCAAATCCCATTGAAGTCAATGGGTATCTTCAAAGGTTTGACTCGATGCATGTTTTTGAGATGATAAAAGCTCCTGTCCTGGTTTGTTGCATCCCTCTGTTACATGGTTAGTACAAGTAAACAAATGGATGCATAACCTTTCTAAATAGATGATTTAGCCAGAGATCCCAGCTGATAATGCCCCCCAGTTAGTTGTCTGCAGAGTTGTGGAGACAGCCATCCAAACATGAGCTGGTGGTTTGCTTATGTTTACAAGCATGCAAGCTGGGAGCACATCTCTTCAAAATAAATTTCAAATCTTGAAGAAGCTGGCTGTTCGGTTCCCCTCCCAAAGCCCTTTTATTAACTGGCATGAGGATATTATGGCCTGCCACTACAGAGTGAAAGCTTTGGGCACTCTGGTTCTGCATCTTCATAGGCGTGTGGATTGTGCTTTGCATGAGCCTCTCTGAAGGAGTTCAATCCCAGTTAGCCACAGCAGCTGGTAGGAAGAGACCACATCAAACCAGGAGAAGGTTAAAGAGAGGACAGAAGTGCTGCAAGGTCATGAATTTCATCATATAACACATGCTGTTTGTGTGTTTCTGTTTTTATAGGTGTGTATGTATAACACGTATATAGGTACATTGTGTGTGTGTGTGTAAGTATTACTTACCACAAAAATCTAAGCATGGAGGGTACAAAACCCTTAATGAAAAAATATATCTTCAGATTATTGTTACTATTCATTTGTGAATTCTAATCCTACTTCTAGTTCTTTCCAGAATAGCACTAAAATGCACTGTTTGTAGGTGCAAAAATGGACATGGTTTACAGGGACCAGTTTTCTGGGAAGAGTAAAATGGTTTTTGCAGTTAAAAAAAAAAAAAAAAAAAAAAGCCCCAGACCACAAAATAAACAGAATCTCTGCGTTGTCATTCACAGTTACTGCAAAAAGGAGGACCGCAATAAGGAGAATCTTTTCACCGGCATGAACTATGATGTTGCTGCCAAGAAGAGAAAGAAGGACCTGCTGAATAACAAAACCAAGATTCAGTGTAAGACAGCCGTTTGGGTATTTTTAAAACAAGTTGTTGGAGGAGGGGAAAAATGCTGCAGTGTGTATATTCTTGCATAAATGTCAAGAAGCCTTCCAGAAACCTCTTGAGTCTCTTGTACCCATGTGTGACTTAAGTAGAGAACTTGGATACGTTTCTTAATATGAAGATTTATGCCCCTGTTGTTAATCCCTGCTCCAAGCATTGGTGCTTGTTGTGTTCAAATTTTTGTCATCTGTATTTGGCAGAGGAAGACTAATTTTTTCCTATGGTACATTCAAGTGAACCAGTTCCAATTTTTTTCCCCCCTGTAGACTTCTTGTACACAGCAGACTGAATGTTACTCTCTCTTCCCTATACACATTTATACGAACAGAGGCAATAAGCCTGAATGTAAATTTGGGCCCTCACTGGCCATGCAAAGCACGTGGGGGGCAGGGAAGATTCTGGCCTGCTCTAAATAGTGGAAGATTTTAACTCAAGTCCACGTGCAACTTGGGCTCTTATCTCTGTGCCCAGTATGGGTGGACCCTGGGGAAAGTGCACAGATGAGTGTCTGCCTGGGTCTGACTGGAGCATTGATAGCTACATTTGTAAACTTCACATGCGCAGAGAGGAAATGGTACTGTGAGAATCATCACTTGGCTACCTTGCAACCCCCAGGGTTTTACTAATCTCTGCCAAAATTGACTCCCAGAGGTGTATTTGATTCAGTCTGCAGTGTAAACAAAATTAAACATTACTTTGACACTCTCTGACCAGATTCTGCCCTTGGTCACTGACTTAAAGGCCTGACTTGAGGATCTGCACATGTGCAATGGAAACTTGGACCTGTCCCTTAACTTTTGTTTCCTAACATAAGGGCATCTGTATTTGCATCCTCTATGCTGCATTACATGTAGTATTCTTCTGCACTGAATCCCGTCTTCAAAGATAAAAACTGAGAGTTTAAAGTTGCCTTTATCTTTAAAGATACTCTTAAAGATAAGGGGAAGATAAAAGCATGGTTTGCCCTTAAACATCTTTGCTAAGAAATGGCCACTGTAAAATGCATTGAAGAAGGGAATGGGATAGGACAGTGCTGAGTGGGTTCCTGAACTCCTGTAGGTGTTGGGAAATGATGCAAAGCAGGAGAGCAAAGATGTTAGTGTTTTTGTATTTTTAATTTACTCCCATTATTCATGTTTGAGTGGGATGTCAAAAATATGGCAAACTCGGGCCTAAAAATTTTTACATGCAGGTAAAAGCAGTTTCTTGTGGGCCTCTCCTCTGAATGCCTAAGCTTACCACTATAAATGCTAGAGTGCCTCTGAGTCTTGTGACATTTTTGCTCAACTTTATACTTGGCATTTAATCCAGACACTGTAACCAAGGTAGTAAATATGTAATAAAATCAATAACAACAAAACCTGGCTGTCAGCCTCTCTTATGGGCTGGGAGCAAAGCAAGTGAGGTGCTGTGGTAGATCTGCAGTATGTAGATTATTAAATACAAAGAGGCTTGGACTGTATCAGTGAAACGCATGCCCTTTCTAGGATTCTCCTTCTGTCAGATGAAGGATTAGGGAAGCAAAGCAACCCAGAAGGGCCTGATGGTGATCCTGGTTACATCAAAAAATTAATACCAGTGGAGATGATGGAACTAGCACGAGACCAGAATTGGGCTTCATCTTTTTACAAAGTTAACTTTTTATACATTAACTGAAGAAACTGTCTGTCTTCCTTTTTTAACAGACTTCCATCAAGAAAAATGGATATATGTTCACAAGGGAAGCACAAAAGAAGTGAGTACCCTCTTGTTTTATTTCCCCATGCTGGTTTTTCCAAACACTGTTAATGGGTCAGACCTCTTGATGTGTATTTTGTCATAGCAAAATTGTAACAGTTAGGTCAGCGTTGTCAACTGGGAGTATACCGCCACCGCTGTGTGGCTGCCGTGCGCCACTGCCACTTCATGTTTGGCTGCCGGGGGACCCCCTCCGCCTCCATATCCAGAAGAGGGTACTTGCCAGGATGGGTATGCTCCTCAAAAAAATGTTGAAAACCCCTGAACTAGATGATCTGGCTTGTAATTTGTCTTGCAGTGGTGATTACAGGCCATAATTGGGGATCAGGCCTCCATTGTGCAAAATGCTATCCATACTTTAAAAAATGACTTTGCTTACCTACTGGTAAACCAAATAACATCCTTAGCTTTTGCCCTGTTCGTTCCTAGTATGAACAAACACTACACGCCAATTCAATTGCATGCATGGGGAGGAGTGGATATAAGAAACCACTCTGACTTTATTCTGCCTATGACCATAAATTTGATATGTTGGTATAGAACATGTAGTCCTGTCTCTGTCCAATAAAAAAACGACAAAGCTTTGTGCTTCTCATTTTCTCAGCGTCACGGCTACTGTACCTTGGGAGAAGCTTTCAATAGACTTGACTTCTCCAGCGCTATTCTGGATTCCAGAAGGTTCAACTATGTTGTTAGGGTAAGTATAAGGCCAAGACTGACTTCACTGTACCCTCTTATGAAGAAACAAATTGTTGAGGTGCTTGACTAAGCACAGAGTGAGGTCAAAACTAGAAAAACTATGCTGTGCTCTTCCACAGTGCAAGGGGGAGACTTTGGGACCAGTTAAAGCATCTCAAGATATATGTCCATCTGTCAATTCCCTGCACAGGCCAGATAGATCCCACACAGCCTGCTTGTGGATATACTGGCAGTGGAGGGCCTGTGTAGAGGAGTGAAACAAAAGTTGCACATCTCCAGTTTTCCTATCTCATTCTGTGCCGGAAAGCTGGTGTGGTGGTGACTTGTTTCTGAATTTTTGATGGGGTATGTGCATGTGTGTGGTGGTGGTGGTGGTTTTAAGTCATCTGTTCAGTTTCTTTTTGAAATGACTTGACTGTCCTTAGTCCAGATATCACTGAGCAGGTCTCCCCAACTCAAACTGCCATTTTCTTGGCAGTCTGAGCAATGAGGCCATGGAAACTTGCCTAACTCAAGACTTTGGAAGAGGATCCATTCATCTCGTAGTTGAAACTCTATAAAAGGACATTGTAAATTTGTAATGTTGATGCCTGTGCTCCAGGTTTATCAGCCCCTCTCCCTAATGAACACTAACTGATGTACCCCACCACCAAAGTACAGTTATAAGATATGATGGAAAAAAACTTGGGGGATGCTGAATGCCTCGAGTGCAGTGGAATAGCCTGTGCACTGGAACACAGGCTATTTGAGACGCAAGTGAAGATTAAGGATCCCTGAATGTCCTATTTACTAGTCCATCAGTGACCCATTTGAGAAGGTAAAAGTGAGAAGTGGGGGGGGCATGAGTGAGATGAGCAGAGCTGAATATCCAGGAGTCACTGCCTATTAACTCTGAGGAAACACAAACATGACTGTAGTTCCATGGACAGCTCCAACAAACTGGTTCTTCTGTTATCTCTGCACAACCTCTTCAGATAGAAAAGGACTCCTAGTACTACACTTCTACGTTAGATCCTTGTGCAAAGCCCATATACGCAGACCAAGACTTCTTCTCTAATTATCAGTGGTCCAAGAATAACACTGCTCTTATACCAAAGACCTAAAACCAGGGAATGCTTACATGCACATTAACCACAGGTTAATCTGAAATTTCAGAATGTGTTTATCAAAGCTTGGAATTTGATCAGCTAAAAAAAAAAATCTTGAATTAACTCAAGGCTCCTCTTCACACATCATCACCAGATGATCATTGATGGAGTACAAGCTGTTTAGGTTTTAGGTTCTGGGGCAAGCAGAGTCTTTGCTGTCACACTGCTTTTACTCAACTGTTGGAAAAGAGTTGGCCAAAAAGATGATTCAGAATAAGTTTAGCCTTGGATCCTGCACCTGTTGGGTGGCTGGGTATAGGCCAAGCATTCCAACTTCATCTAATCAAAACCTCTTATCTTTCTGTGCAGGATGGAGGTAGTGATTGTTACTTGGTATTCTCTATAGCTAACCTTTTTTTTTTTTTTTTTTTTTTTTGTCCAGCTGAGCTACTGTTAACTTTTATAAAAGACAGTTTAGTCCCCTTTTTCCTTTAGACTCCCTGCATAATGAAATCGCTATGTTTGTCTGTGCTATCCTCCACATAGCATGCAGCAAGCCACCTATATAAAAATTTAAGTGAGACTTTTTTTTAAGAAACATAAGATGGAATTAAATTTTGGTGATCAACTGAAGCTTCTAGAATGACAGACCCTTATGGGCTGTCTTCCAACATGATCATCTCCAGTGTTCAAGTGTAGACATTGTTATTTGAAGCTTCTGTGCAAGTAGAAAAACAATAGTACAGTGACCAGATCTGTAGCGTATCTCTGGTGTCTAATGCTTTTAACCACACACTACCACTGTGTAGGGCAGAAATCAAAGAACTGTAGTTGAGGGGCAGAGGGTACGTGTAAATTTAATGTTAAGCTCCAAAAGTGATTTTGGTTCCTGTTTAGGGTTTGATTCTGAACTGATGAGCCATCCATTAAGTAGCTGGTCAACTGAAGTTTTAGTCATGGTCAATTTATTTTCAGGGTGTTGCTGTATAGCAGTGTAAAGACACAAGCGGAACAAATTGTGGCACTTTTAGATTCTTCTCACCATCCACTATCGCAGATTGGCAGAGGTAGCAGCCTCTCACACTAAAGTCGGTAGGCGTTCTTGTTTCTTTGACTTGCCTTGCATCCAAGCTGTGAGATTTGATCAGTAGTTTTAAGAACACGGCATAACCTGGAAGCATGAATCTTAAGCTGGCTAGCAGTTTGGCAGGTAAGACCAGTTAAATCTAGTCTTATGCTGCAAATATATAAAACTGACTTGGCCAATACAAACTTTTCACTTAAGTCAATGGATAGTAGCTCATAAAACACCACGTGCATGGTTTGTTTATGAAATGTCCTGCCTGGACATAGAGTTGCCTCTTGGGTTTTGTTTGATAGTCCTTAGCGAAGCAGGGAGATGCTCCAGAGCACGTAGATGAGCAGTCCATCACACAGAACACGCCCTGACTGTTGCACACTAACTCCCCCCCTTTTTCCCATGGCTAGAGAAGTACAACTCCATTAGCCCCACACATTTGATCAATAGCATAGTGTCAAATGCAAATGCTTTCCAAGTGCCACTTCACAACTGGAGTAGGGAGTGAAGGTGCAGGTGGCCAGGGAGAAGTTTAAAATGCTTCTCTTTGTATCCTGGAAACTTCATTTATAAGCATTGTGGACTACTAAACAATATAGCTTTCGAGTGCACTGGGAACTCCCCTGTTAACAGCCCAGCTGTTCATATAGAGCCTTTAGCATATCTGCTTTGCTTGCTTTTTGTAAAACTTATGAAAAACTCAGCATTCAAAAGCCTACCCAAGGTTCCTACTTCTGTCTCCTGGATCTTGCTACTAGGTATGTCTGTTTGGGTAAAACCTGAAAATCCTTTTGCTAAGCTCATGCATCTTGCAGGAGCACTAACAACTTGTTTTTGAGCCAGGAGTGGCTTGAAAATATTGTGGGGTTTTTTTTTTGCAGTTTATAGGTAACAGCTTGGCAAACAGTGTTTTCTACAGAAACACATCACACACAATCCAGTGGCTCCTTGGCTTTCAAAGGGGAAGACACTTCTTTACCCACACTCACCTTGTCATGATAGTTTCTGTTGTGACTTACTACACATCTCATACTGTTGGGGCTATCACCCTGAAATGGGTTCTTGCTGGCTAATGACTTGCATCTCCCTATCCACTGTTTAGGTGCAAAGTTTAAAGCCTTCACTTCTCAGCTCCATTAGTAACCAAGAAGCTTGGAAAATAGTTTGAGCTTAGACCCCACATATTAATCCTGAAGTAGTTGTGGGGCAGTTTAAAAATGGAGACTGAATAAAGGTATGCTCCATGTACATCTGTAACATGAGCTGACATGGCACCTTTTAGACAGCAAGGCAAGCACTAAAGCTGTTGCCCGTTTTCTGAAATGTTTTTGGTAGATGAGTGAGCTTGTGCAGACTTTCCTCCCTTCACAACAATTTACCTTACAGTGTTTGCATAACAATATTTTGCAAGAGATGAGGCACTCTTGCTGTAACACTGCTTCAAATCATAAAGTGTTTGAACCTGATCCCAGCTGCCTGAGGACAGATCTTCTTGAACCACGTGATCTAGACAGCTCATGGCTAGCTAACGTACTTTCTCAGATTTGTGTTAAAATTTCTATGGGACCTAGTTTTAGGAATCCTGGATTTACGTTGTAGCATCTGTTTGTAGATCCGTTGGTGTCTTTTTATTGTGAGTTGCAGTAATTTATCTGACTATCAGTTTCATTCCAGGCTGGAAGTTGGCATATGAAGCATCAGCAAGTGTGTGTGTGTGTGTGTGTGTGTGTGTGTGTGTGTGTGTGTGTGTGTGTGTGTGTGTGTGTGTGTGTGTGTGTGTGTGTGTGTGTTATGGGGGAGACAGGTTTTCATTGCAATAAACTTCTGTTTGCAGATGCCAGAAGCCAGATATTCAACCATGGGAGTCAGAGTTGTGCAAACTTACCTTAGCTGAGGATCTGACATACTATACTCAGTGCTGCATTGTGACTTGTGTTTTGACAACTCTTGCGGGGGGGATGGAGAAAAATACCTTTTATCCCTGTACCACACTACAAGTTCCTTTTTCTTCACCGGCCATTCATGCGTAGCCCTGTGTAGTTGTGTTTGAGAGAAGGCCAGTAGTCTTTCCACAAACCCCAAACTAGCTGACCAGCTCGCTCTCTAAATGTTTCAATCCGGGACTTTCTTAGGGGGGTTGGTTGGGAACTCTTTTCATTCTACCTCCTAATAGTTAAGGGCAGAAAGATACTTTCTAGTTTCTCAAGTGTCATAAGGCCAATGCACATGCACACGAGTGGAACCAGGAAGATTAAGGGTATGGAGCACTCTGCAGCTTTTCATTCCACCATTTATTTATTTATTTTGCCTGCCTAATCCTTCCAAATAAAATGAGATTGAATTGGGTGAGGCGGCCAAGGGACTTTCCCTGGGGATATTGCATAGAACAGAAGAAGATTGCCACGGACCTACCATCACCACCTCTGCTTCCATCTCCCACCCCATGCCCTTTATGTCCAAGAGTAGGAACTGTTTCATGTGTCTCAAGATGTGGCCCAAAAGTTTGGTTTCCCACAAAGGGACTGAGGGCTTCCAGATTGGCAGGACTGGTGATTATGGACTGAGGGCTTCCAGATTGGCAGGACTGGGGATTGCTGAGCATCTTCAAAAAAAAATTAGGCCCTGGCTGCTGCTGTTCATCTTTCCCTTTGTACTGTTAAAGCTAGCAGCACTTTGTACGTGGATTTGGGTGAATACCAGTGTCAACAGTGGTTTCTGTGATACTGCATGTAGATAAATTGGGCAGGGGAGGAATGACGACTACAATCTCCTTGTTCCACTGGGTATTATTCTTGGTTTGCAGTGGTGTTAGTCTGTATAATGCATTGATCAACATGCTATATGCCATATGTGTTGTGTGTTTCTAAACTCTGAGCCATATTTCACTATGTCCCCAGTAATCTTGGAATAAATTCCATTAGCTCTGTCATTCTGGATCTTGGTTGATGACTCTAGACCCTCAATGCAAAGCTGCACTTTGCTACTTATTGTTCTACCTGTCTTTATGTGTACTGGCAAAGAAAACTAGTGTTACTCACATGTCTGGAGTCTATTTTGGAATTTGGCTGTTCCTTCTTGGCATTGCAGTTTGATCTGGAATATGATGCCTCAGGAGGCATTCATAATATTGTATTCAGATAGGATTTTATCCTTTATTTATTGCTGCTTGGAAAAAAGTGATATGTGATAGCTTTGCTAATTTACTTGATAAATAGCAAAAGGAAGGGACTCTACTTCATTTTGATTGTCTGATTTTTTTTTTTTTTTATTTTATTTTTTTATTTAATTCCCTCAGTATTCAAGGATCAATTTTGGTTTGGGTTTTAATTAAAAAAGAACAACTGAATCTTATAGCATTTCAGCCACTTGGCATTTATAACGTGTGCAAAGACTTAGTGTGTGTTAACATCTTTGTAAGCAAAACTCTGCCCTGTTTGTTTGGTTTTTTTATAATAAAGTTTCTTGAGGAAGCTGTTCCCGGGGCCGTTCTAGAACATTGCAAAACAGGGACAGGACTTGTTTATGGTTGAAGCCGATCTGGGTGTTTGTATGACTGCACGGCCTGGCAAGTTGAGAATCATAATTGAAGGTCATGAGGTTAAATAGACCAGTACTAGCAGTTTATTACAAAGACTATTTTAAGGAAGTGTTCTTTTTTTTTTTTTTTTTTTTCCACCCCACCCCCTCTGAACTTTCAGTGTTCAAAAAAATCTTGGAAAGATTTTAAAAAAAGATTATATTAAAAAAAAAAAAAAAAATCTTGCTAGCTAGATTTATGCATTGGAGTATATACACTGTACAAGTGAGAAACAGCAGAGAACTCTGTCATAACACAGGTACTACATATTAACTGATGAGCTTGTCCCTTCATTATCTCACCTACTCGCTCAAATTGAGTCATGACAAAAAAAGCCCAAAACATTTCTGCCCTTCACAGAAATGTTAAACTGTGGATTTTTTTTTTCCCCATCTTGTTTTATACCAATCATGTGAAGTGCAAGATTATTAATAGACTGTAAACATCAGATGGTTTTGAGTTTAAAGTTGGCCTGAAAGATGAACAGAAGAGCAGACTGGTCACTCTAGGCCACTTTACGGCTTCTAGCTGACAGTCACATGCTAATGACAGAGATGAGCAAAATGGGCAAATGGTTGCAATAATACCTCTCTCTGAGCTCAGAGCTTATGGCAAGGGGCCGATAACTTTATGATTTCATTCCTGCCATTCTAATAGGTTGGCAAACATCAACTCATGACTTATCAACTCTTGTCAGGAACCATCTCTGTTACTTGACACAAGGAATAGCAACTGCTCTGTACAATCCCTATTGTCAGTAATGGGATAGTGTAACCATGGATGATAAAGCATTTAATAGGCCAGTCATGTGATGATGCATGTGGATTGATTGGCAGTATAAATGCTCTTTCTTTCCCTTCTCATGTAGAACAGAAGGATATGAACCACTAGGAAAATAGAATGGCTTGTAAAAAATGTATGGCTTTCAGATCTCCCCCTAGGCTTATAAAAGGGTTACTGCCCGTGATTTATTCACTATTTAAAACCATAAAAAATCCTTCCAGGACACTTGTTATTCCAGTAGAAAAATATTTTTTTATGAGATAAAATTCCTTCAGTAATTTTACCCCAAACACTGCAGCAATTGAGCTAGTGCATAGGAATCAGCAAAGTAAACACGTGGCCTAAATAGTTCTGGATTCTTTCAGTTCTAACAATAATAAAAATGAGGAATTTTCTAAAATAGGAGTCTTAAGCTTTCCTCTTCATGAAAACTCCTGTATGAAACATGTTGCCAGAGAGCGAATTGGAGTGTCATTTGGCATAAATGAGGGAATCTCTGATGCTCAATGCATGAGTTTAATTCTTGTCCCTTGGTGACACTACTTGTCTATGTATATCGGTGCAAGACGCTGAGATGCACCATTCATTGTTTGAATAGTCATTGTCAGTCTGACCAGTGGCTTATGGCTTTCTATACCTCTGAACCATGAAACGATGCTGGCATCACTTTAAAGAGCCCTCTATCAACAGAAGGTGCTCTTCTTCTGGGGTGGGTTTAATCATCTGTTTTTCCTCTTGCCCTTGCATTTCTCTGTGGTGTGCCTACCTCTGTTGTATATAAGAGCAATAAACAAGTATTTGAACTGCTGGGCTGTCATGTGACTGGAAGGCAAGATTAGAAAAATATCTTTGTACTCTAAGACTGGCAACTTCTATTTTTATCCACAGCTGTTAGAGCTGATAGCAAAGTCTCAGCTAACATCACTGAGTGGAATTGCCCAGAAAAACTTTATGAACATCTTGGAAAAAGTGGTGCAGAAAGGTAAGAGAAATATAATGACCCTGGCTTATATCCACAGCATCTGGTGACAACCAAATCCAGGATGATCACAGTGGAAGATTGGGAAGAGGTGCAGAACAAAACGCAGAATTGGAAGGGAGTTTAAGGGTCACCTAATCCAATCCTGGGCACAGATGTAGGATTTGCAATATCAGACGAGTTAATCTCTTCCTGTGACTGAGGTCCACTGGAGAGAATTCCCTGGGTGGGAGTAGGGGGAAGGGTGGGGGGGTGTACTTGGAAGTACTGTAGAAAGGCCACATGCCTCACCTTGGCTCAGTCTCTGGAACAATGAATTATGAGGAAATGTGACCTCTCTAACTTGTCTTGTCTAGCTCATGCTGGAGCTCTCTTATTTTTATTTTTTTTTATTAAGATTTCAGCCCTTAATAAATTACTGTCTCTGATCTTGGACCAAAAGTTAACTTTTATGAAACCGTCAGAAGGAAGTGAATAACAAAAATATATATGAACTCCATTTTCCCTTCTCTTTTTCTTGGCTTCCAAAGTTCTTGAAGATCAGCAGAACATCAGGCTAATAAAAGAATTGCTTCAGACTCTCTACCAGTCACTATGTACCCTGGTTCAAAGGGTAGGCAAGTCGGTTCTGGTTGGAAACATCAACATGTGGGTGCACAGAATGGAGGCTATCCTTCACTGGCAGCAGCAGCTGAACAACATCCAAATCACCAGGGTAAGCAAGAATCCTGGCCCTTGCTGAGAGGCAAATGATATGTTGGCTCTTTCATACAGCCTTATCATACAGCAGCTCCTGCCTGGGGGACTGGATCATCATTAGCGTTCCCAGACTGCATACAAAGCATGCTGATGTAGAAATTTGGATTGTTACGATTTGAATTGGACCAGATAAGATAATGGAACAGGGGTTTTATTTTTGTTATTATTTTATTACTTCTGAGTTTTTAAATTTTAAACCAAGATGAAGAATGTTTGTTTGTTTGTTTGTTTCCCTTCCCCCCGTTGCATGTTTAAATGTTCCAGGTGGCTCTGAGCTAAAACCAGCTTTATCTAGGAAAAGCATGAAAGAGCCTGGCATCCTCAAGTGCCCCGCAGTCACTCTGTCTTGAATGTAATAAATGTGTTGGATGCAGGATCCACTTCAAGTTGTAATGGAAGATGGGCCTGTAAATAGACATTAATTCTGTGGCTTTTGTAGGGTAGGAAGCAGCTTTCCTACCCTGAGAAACTTTAGGGTGTTAAAATTCTCCTGACCCAAGTATTTTTTTTTTCATCTTAACATCTCGATTCTTTGTAAACTGAAAATTCCAAACTCTCCACTTTTTTTATCAAAAATTTTGGTTTAACATATATCTTCTTTTTAATCCTATATTTGCTAACACTTCCAAATGAAGACTTGCTTAAGTTGAACCTTTGGTTTCCAGTGCTGCAATATGTCCTCCTTTTATGACGTGACTCTTCAATTTGAAATTAATTGTAAAAAATCCCAGTCCCCTCAGTGAGACCAGGATACAGACCTAAATGAACTGTCATGTGAACTTTTTCCATACTAAGCCTGCAAGAGTTTAGTGAGGTGCTTGCCCTTGTAATTTCAAAGCAAGTAGTGCTGTATCCTGTGACCAAGGAAACCTGAAGTTAAATCCACTCTGCAGCCAAAAGAGAGGTGATGAGAAGGAAGTTAATGGGCAATGAGCTCCTCCGGGCTCTGGCTCAGCTATGTCCAGTGGCCATATCCTCAATCCCACAGTCATCTGTATGGACATATGGCCACTGCTTTCCATGGAGCACCTAATGGGTTTGGGCTTCTATTGGCATGAAGCTTGCGGAAGAATCGGGACCCAACTGGTTAATTTAATAGCTAAAAACATTTTCCCTTCTTGATTGAACCCATATCAAGTCAGGAAAGAAAGTCACCCACATCAGTTCAAAGAAATGGTGTTGATCCCAGCCAAAGTTCTGTCGTATCGGCATTTGCAAACTGAACTGCCTGTATGTTATGTACTTGTATTTGCTGGCTACAATGTGGAGGAGAGGCAGTTGGAGAGAGATATATCTATCTATCTATCTATCTATCTATTTTTTTTTTTTTTTAAAGCACTGTTTGAATATCTTAAGCTGTAGAGCTTGGAGAAAAATGTCATTTTCTTGCTCTTGTTAATGGCTGTTGGGTAAGTTTGAGCCAGCTGAGGGGAGGGGAAAGGGACAGCACAGTACCGAAGGCAGTTGGTCACTCACTGTAAGTGGGCTAAGTGTTTGGGGTATTTCTGAAGGGGAAGATGTCTTGAAACAGCCAAAAAATATAAAGTTGGCGGGGAATAGATTGAAACCTATCTACTAAGCATGTGCAGTAATTTCTTTAAAAGAAAAAGAAACCACTTTTCTGTCCATTTTTAACAACAAAAGCATCCTCTGATCTAATCTTTTTCTTCTCCAAAAAAGTCATGTTTGAAAGGTACTGGAAAGAACAAAAAAAAAGAGCAGATAATTTTTTTGGCCCTGATTTTCAGCAGAGCTCTCAAGCATGTGCTTTAGTCTCACTGACTTCTTCAGTAACAAGACATCAGCATGTACATAATAGCTGAGCTGAACTAGAAGCTCAGGCCAGTGTGCTTCACTTGGATAAAACCCTCATTTATTTAAATAGGCCTTCTGCTCAGCAGTATTGCAGTCTAGTGCCCTTTGGACATGAGGCCATTAAGAGGTTATAACCAGTCCTGCATCTTCTGCAGGAAACTTGACTTTAATTGTGGAGTGAGGGCAAGAATCCTGTGATGTCCCAGTACGACAGGCAGATCTGTTGCAGGGTAGGGGGTGTCCCAGCTGTCTTGGTTCCAGCAAAGCCTTCATTTCTTAATTGACACAAACAAGTAAATGACAGTGAATTTAAATAGTTGCATTTAATTATGCAGAACTCTTGCATCTGAATCTTTTGCTTGCCGCAGGGGTTTTTCACCAAGAACATGGAGGCTATTGCAGTGGGAAACAGAACAGGAGACAAGGTTGATAATGGAATCTGGAGAGAATTAGTTAAATGTTTCTTCCGAAAGGATCAGTATCAAAATAGTTAACCGAATGACATTTACGTTAATGCTGTGTTAAGAAGAATGGAACAATGGGGTCCTTTGGGGCTGCTGTTGATTGGCAGTCATCACTAGATTTGTTTGTGATGCTGTTGGTAATTCTCAGTGCTAGAAAACTGGTTTTTCTAAAAGATAAGCACTTGGCTAAAGGGTGGATGGACTGTGCAGCCTGTTTCACTGCTGTGATGCTGCAGAGTACGTAGGCTTCTGTTCTGGACTAGTAATAAATAGTTTTGTTCCCTGCAGATCGAAAGGTAGGAACTGTTTGGTATAAATACACTTATTATGCCTTTGAAGTCCCAGACACCATCCAGCTGATGGAGACAGGGTCATCGGAGTAAAAATAGTGCCACACAACTTCCATCATCTGCTCAGCAATTTGTGTGTTTGGTTTTAAACAATTAATTGCTATGCCAATTGCCAAGAGGGTGAGGTGATGCCACAACTTAAAATAGAGGCATCTCTGTGCAGGGTAGTTGATGACTTGGGACACTTGTTTAAGGTCCTTATTTGTCATTTTACCAGGGGAGCCCAAACCTTCAAACTTTAACTTGTCTGAATAATAGTTTGCTACTTCATGTAGCAATTGGAGCCCATATTCTTGTTTTCTCACCGCTTGGATCTTGGTCCATGCAGGGGACTTTTTCCCACATTCAACAGTCTGAATCTAGGTAGCAGTGTAGTCGCAGTGATGTTAATCCAACCAAATTACAGTGTGTTCTGATGGAGCCTCAGGGTTTAGTGCATGAGTATAAATACTGATTGCTGTTGTTTAACACTGGCATACTTGTGGACAAATATATGACCCAGACAAGACCTATAGAAGTATCCTCTGTAGGAGAGAACTTAAAAAGAACGTTCCTCAGTAATTGCTAACAATATCCCAAGCAACAATGGCAGTGAAATCTTGCTTTCTACCATTACCCACGAACTGCTCTGGTTCACCTAAGTTCTTATGACCCTAAAAAAGAAAAAACATTAGTTTGACAACATCCAACCTATATGGACTGAATTAATCTGAGGACTCCAGGGATAAAGGCTTTAGCCATCTTGTTCTACAATCAAAAAATATGCAGAGCTCTTGGCAGAGGTGATATCTTTTATTAGACCAACTAAATAGTTGCAAAAAATGTTCTTTACTTGCAAGCTTTTGGGCTCACTTGCCCTTCCTCAGGCAAAGGAGAGTGCACAGATTTGTAACACTTCTCCCAAGTAGAAATGCAGCTTCATATTGCACAGGAGAATAAAAAGGTGTTATAGGTTCCCCTGGGTGGAAAAGTTCATTTTATGCAAATTAGGCTTAAATAAAAATTCAAGCAGTCTGTTTACCTCCCAAGTTGTCTGATGGCAAGCTGGGTGTTGAATTATTTTTTCCTCCTTGGTGAGATGCTTTCTATTGCAGTGATTCTCAACCTTCTTGTACCAGGACCCATTTGTAAATACCGACTGGCAGCCCCAACCCAGTGCCCCTCACTCCCACACTTGAAGTGCTAAAATGTCTTTTGGAGACCAGTATGTCCACTATGCACCAGTGATGAGGGAAGTTAATTGTGCAGTTAATGCTTGGGAGAGCAACATGGATGCTGTTCTACTACACTAAACAGTGGTAGTGTTGGTTTTGGTCTTCCTTCTATGTTTGTACAGCCTCTTGCACACTGGAGACCCAGTTCCAATTCTGGTTGGACCTACCAAATTTTCAGTTTGCGTGATTTTTGTGGAAATCTTGAATTTGGGTGGACTGCGTGGGAAAAATGGCGGGCTCCATGATTTTGGCAGGCTTGTTGGTAATTTTTTTTTCCTGCAAGCAGAGAAAAGGACGGGAAGCCTTGCACTCTTGGAGCATGGAGGGGAGGGAGCAGGGAGGAAGAGGGCCAGGGCCACGCAGGGCTGCTCACAGCAGGAGGCCTGGATGCAGCAGGCAGTAGCTGCTTGCAGCTTCTGCACCTCCTGCTGCAAGCAGCCCTGCCCCACTTAACATGCAGATTAATGGCTTCCCCAGGCTTAATTGCGGTAATCAAGTTGTGGTTTTGGGCTATGTGGTAACCTGCAGTGAGGGGTGGGACTGCTAGGAGCCCTCGGCCAATTGGGGGGTGGCTGTCATGCTCAGCCCATGCAAATGGTGGCCAGCCCTAGGATCTGCCTGCAAAATCAGCTGGCAGTCTCTTCAAGTTCAGTAGATCCCTGGAAGTAGTGGCTCAAAAAAACCGTAGCCCATGAGAAGATCTCCCAAGGAAATTGGTCTCTTCCCACAGATGGGAAATCATCCAACACTGCTGAATCCTGTGTATATAAAATCTTTAGTAAGTAATAATACAGCTGTATTTGGTTTAATTCATCTTGTATCATTTTTACTTTTTTTCCCAGCCTGCCTTTAAAGGAACAACCTTTACCGACCTGCCACTGTGTTTACAATTAAATATCATGCAGCGGCTAACTGATGGGAGAGACCTAGTCAGCCTTGGTCAAGTTGCCCCTGAGCTGCAGGTGCTCAGTGAAGACCGACTGCTATGGAAGAAACTCTGCCAGTACCATTTCACAGACCGACAGGTAATAGGAAAGAAGTTACCGCTAGATCAGTGACCTATTGCAGTCTGTATATTTGTGAGTGAACATAAAGGACCTTCCTCATATTGAGCATTACTTGGATCTAAAGCTTATACCACAAGTTTCTAACATTGACTGGCATGTTATGGCCAAAAAGCTTTTCTGTTGGAAGTTTGATAGTGTTGGAAATACCCCAGTACTGATCCCCGAAATGGAAGGCCTTTTAACAATAAGGGCCAATCTCTTCCATGTTGGCTGCTAACCAAGGTAATCCAAGATGGTAATGACCAAGTGTTGTCATTGCTTGTACTATATTGGAGAGAATTCTTTCTTCATCTAACCTTAGCAGTCACAGCAGGTGGCATCCTTGTGAGAATGGACAAGGATTGAGTAGTCCATGAGGAATGACTAGTATTTTGCCCTTTTAAAGAGAAAACACTTGCTGGCTGAGGTGGTTTGTCATCCCTAAGAAAGGGGCAGGATGTTACCCTTCCTATTGCACATGCTGTGGCTGTTTTGTGAATGAAGGTTTTGGGCTGCCACCTAATTATTCTAGAGTGGTAATTTTCAACCAGGATGCCATAGCACTCTAGGGTGCCTTGAGATCCTTTCAGGGGTGGGGTGAGGTGCCACACACTATTAGCTCAGTTAGGTTTACAAACCTGATTCACAAATAAACCCAGAGATTTCAAATAGAAATCCATAGTTGTGGTTTTTTTGAGTTCTTTGCAACAAGCTACTCGTTTTGTTTGGGGGGGGGTTGTTTTTTTCCATAGGCAAAAAAAAGGTGAAAACTGAGCTGGCACTTTCCAAGGGGTGTCTCAAATCTGTCCAGGGTTACCTTAAGTCTGAAAAAGGTTGAGAGCTACTACTTTAGAGTATGGAGAGAATTCTTTGCAAGATCACTCTTCAAAACAAGCAAATGCTAGTATGCACTCAGTCTACTTCTCTAATTCTGTTTTTAGATTCGCAAACGGCTTATTTTATCAGATAAGGGGCAGTTGGATTGGAAGAAGATGTACTTCAAACTTATAAGGTGTTACCCAAAGAAAGAGCAATATGGAGACACACTGCAGCTCTGCAGACACTGTCACATTCTCTCCTGGAAGGTACGTATAGAGGGTTTGTTTTCTCTGAAGTCTTAGTGGAAAATGCAGGTATACAGCATCTCTGAAAGTCAGGCCCACATAGCTTAAAGCTCTTGCCATTCCAGAAGGTGTCTTTCTACTTTTGTTACCCCACAGGGACCCTGTCCTCTCTTCATAAAGGAATAGCAAGTCCCATTCATGGCCTTGAGGATTAGTGTGTCTCCCTGTGATGAGAGAAGAGGGCTGGGTATGACTCGGTCAATTTGGGGCATGTCTACACAAGATGCATTAATGCACATTAGCCTAATTTAATGCACATTGTGTGTGTGCATCTACATGTGCATGCCCTTATTGGACATTTAAAATGGTGAAATTAGGCTAATCATACCTAAATTTGATACTTGCAGGTATCATTTGCAGGTATCAAATTCAGGCGCAATTAGTTAAAGCACATTAATGCACATGTAAACACAACCCAGCACTAACTTTAGTGCCAGGTCTGCCCAGCCATGATGGGTATATGGCAAAGCTGCAGAGACTTGGTACTAACTTAGTGCCAAGTTTCTGCACGTGTAGACACCTGCCAAAATACATTAAGCTAATGTACATTAGCTTAATGCACATTATATTTAGTCGTTCTTAGATGCACATGTAGATGTGCCCTTATTGAACCTTGGGGACATATTCTGCCAGCTGTTTTCCAACCTTCAAAGAATTGTATGCCAGTTTAAATGCAAAGACAACAGAATCGAGCATTTGGATCCTCAGAGTGAATTTGGATCCTTGCCCTGTCTCCCTCAAATATTTACCTGTCCCTAAAATCTAAATCTGAGCTTTGACTTATGCTTTGGGTGAGAACATAAGTAACACTGATTTTGCTATCTAGCTCGTGCGTGCAAACTGGATGTGCAGCACATGGCACAAGGAATGGTGCTAGACCAGTCTGAGTTGTGACACTCATTCTCTTGCCTCTCTAAACAATGTTTCTTTTTTTCTTTCCTTTTCAGGGTACAGATCATCCTTGCACAGCCAATAACCCAGAGAGCTGCTCCATTTCGCTTTCACCACAAGACTTTATCAACTTGTTCAGGTTCTGAACGCGGGGTCTTCACAGCATACTAGATTCTTTTAGAGGACACTTTATGCTGCTGAGCTTGGACACTCAACTTGTAAATAGTGTAAATGTCTGTGATGGTTTGAAGCTCCTGAGGCAAATGAGAAGAGGAATTTGAAGACAAGAGGTGAAATTGCTCGCTGACACTCTATTTAAGTAGTAACAGACTCCAAACAAGACTGGTGTGGAAAGCAGCATGTTGTAAAAAGTTCCATTTCTTGATCAGAGTACAAGATACAGGACAGAAACTTGAGTCTCGGTTTTAGAAGTTAAAACTGAATTTTCCCCTCCGCTCCACTCCTGGCCATTTGAACATTTTGTTATTTTTTTCAGGTTCTAATAATTGAAAAGGAAGCAATATGAGTTGAGGACTATTGAACTGTTCCTCCACCTGGTTGTTATTTACAACAGATATTTATAAATATTACTTTAAAAATATTTATGGGGAAAAACATCCCTCTGACAAGTTTTAATAATATTTGTGTGAGTTTAAAAAAAATTGGATACATTCTGAAATATATATCATGTATAGGACTTTATCCTACTTAAAAACAAAAATCACACACCACACCATTTTCTACCTCTGAGGAAGAATATCTTTCAGCAAAAATCCAGTGTGCAATGTGAACTTTTGTATTTTGTATTTTGATTTAAAGGGAACTGATGTTTTGTGAGTAAGCATTTTTCCTTCACATTTTAATGCTTACTTTTTACATTGGTTTTCTTGCTCTACTCAGTGCTTGATTGCCTAGACAATAGGCACCTTAGAAATACCTAAGATTTTTACTCCATCCTCTTTTGAATTTGTTTTAAGATTAAGCAAAAAAACACACCAGGGTGTGGTTATATTTAACAAGGGAATGTGATGGATTTGAAGGGACCAGATCTAATCTCTTACAGTGTAAATAATTAACAATAACTTCTGATTTCTATGGAATTATGCTGAGTTTACACTGATCTGAGAGATTAGGATGTGGTTTGTTGGGCCTTGGTTTGGTTTTTTGTTTTTGTTTTGTTACTATCAATATACACTACATTACATATAATGTACCACATGCTCCCATTTAAAGTCAAGTGGAATTTCATCCTCAAGGGAATCCTAATGCCCCGAAACTGGTGCAACTTGGAGAAGAATCGGACCCATTAGCAAAACTCCATGGAAGCCAATGGAATTGTACCAGACTACATTCCCTGAGGATCTGGCCCATGATGGTTATCTTGAATGCGGTTAGTTTGTATTTGATGTAACAGCAGAAGTATTGTGGAAATCCAGCTGTGAATTCCTACTATAACAAGGATGCAACCAGTCCTGAGGGTGAGTAGGGGATTTCTGACTTCCTAACTGGCATCCCATAGAAATGGAAAAGACTTTATCTTGCCTATTCCCCTGCCAGTGCCAGAGTGCTTCACATTGTATCTAGGCCTCAAACCAAACCTTGGTCCTGTTTTGAGTTCAGCTGATTTCAGCATGACCTAGGTTTGGTTCTCAGTATTCTACAATACTCATAAACTTGTGGATTTTGACCTCATGTGAATCTGGCAGATTCCAGTTCATGTACAAAAGGTTTTGGAGGAAAAAAACCACATAGAAAAATCTTTGCAGTTCCATAGCAGAGTTCACATACGGCACTTTCTCTTCTGTAAGCAAGGCACAACAGAATGGCAAATGTTATAAGTTGAATGGTATGTACAAAGGAAGTGTGAGAGAGGAGTACTCAGGACAATTCAGGAAGAACTACTTGAGTTAGTTAAATATTCTGTTCCTTTTTTACTTTTTTTTTTTTTTTTTTTTTAAATAAATGATCTATAACACTTTCTGCAGCAGCTGTTTAATATATATTTGCATTTTTGCAAACTGAATCAATTTTTGCTCACTCTTGGAGTAGATGTGGAAAAGAAAAAAGAGGTCCAGTGATTTGGATCGAGTATAAGGAATAGGGACTAAAGCCCTGATAAAGGGAGATGCTGGTTTTGAGGAGAATGGATATTTTGCTTCATTCCAAAGGCAAAAAGTTTTGTTCTTACAGAAACTTCTGAGAGCCAGGGCGTGAATCCTCCCTGGCAGAGAGCTCAGCATTATCCAGAGAAGGGTTAAAAAGTGTCCAAGATGGGGAATTCGTTCCAGTCATTTTCTCCTCCCATCCATGCCCTCCATCAAACACTGGTGAAAGGAGTAATTATGACTTTACCACTTTCAATTGACATAAATATTAACAAGCTGGTTATCCTGGAGAAATGAATCTCTGATTGTGGGTGTTAGCGTCACAAGTAAGGAAGGTAGCGGAGGCCACCTTCTCTCATTCATGCCTGTTCAGCTATCTGTGACACCATTGAGGTTGTCCAGATATAAGTGAGGCCAGGATTTGGCTTGGTGGAAGTGTTAGGGGCAAGAACTTGAAAGTAAATGAAGTGCTGCCATTGTGTTTGCAGGTCCTTTTATTCCTTTCTCTAGCAGCTAAAAGTACTTCAGTAACCTTCTGTTTTTGAAGGCCTATTTCTTCCCCACTCCTCCAATCCCACTACAGTACTTTGCCTACTCCCAGTAAACCAGACTGTGACAGGGAAGTAAATGTGACTTCCCAAGCAATGAGTGTTTCAGGCTAAAAACAAATCTTTCCATTCAAGTCTTTATTTGAGTCTCTCTCTCTCCTTTGTTAAATTCACTCAGTGTCAGAGTTAACCTCAGGGTTTGAATTCTGGTCCTGCATTTCCTGTTCCACTAGCATTAGAGGGCTACAGTGTGGGTTTAGAGCCGTGACTTGGCATCTTCTGAGCTCTAGTCGTGGCTCTGCTACTGTTTCCCTTCAGGCAGATTGCCTACTCTCTGCCTCTCCTCCCGATCCGTTAAGGGAAGATAACCCTGGCCCCACACCTCACAGTGCCCTACTGCTTAGTACATGCTCATTAACCATTCTAAGTACAGTCCTGATCTCAAAGCATTACACGGGCATTATCCTAGGGCCCTTTCTTAACTGTTACACTAGTTAAGAGTGACATTTGTTTCAAGACTGCCTATATAGCTACCCAATGTAAAGCCTCCAAGACAGAGGCTTAGAGCATGAAAGCAAACAATACAAAATATTAAGGAATGTAACCTATTAAATGGCTCTGCTAGAGAAAGAAATAGAAATGGAATCTGTCTCGGACAGCAGTTCTGGTTCCAACAAAGCCTCCGTCTTTTAACTGAGATGCGCAAGTGAATGATGCTGAATTAGATAATTAAATATAACAATGCAGCACCCTTACATCCGAATCTTTAGCTGTAGAGGTTCTTATGGCTGTCACAGTAGTTCTTAAATATGACGTTGATTTTTTTGCAAGTGATGAGGTTGCAACAAAACAAGCTTTTTAAAAAAAAAAAAAAATCAAGTATCTTGGCTCTTCTGACCATTTACAAAGGCACCAATCTACTCAAGCAGCTTATCTACACTGCTAATACATCTGCTTGGCTTGGGGAGGCAGGATAGTGAAAACTGAACCCTGGGTAGGCAGATTGATATACGGCTGCCTTTGCACAGAGACCTCCTTATTTTCAAGATGATTCTGGCAAAGTTAGCGGAAAAAGAAAACAGGCTTTTATCTGTGTTTTGGAAAATACAATAGTAGTAGTAGTAATGTTCTCTGCAAAAAAAAAAAAAAAAAAAAAAAAAAAATTTGGTACATTTTGTGGAAGGTTCCTGTTAGGAATGCCTCCATTTCAACACTACAAAAAACAGCACAGGTTTATTAGCCAGCATAAATCCAGAGAAATTCCACTGAAGACAATAGAATGACTGTATTTACCAGTGCAGCTGAGCAGAATGTGGCTCTGTACAGCAATTTAAAATAGTCTTGCACAGTGGAGGGGGCTTAGGAAGGAAGAGTAGACCTTGCTTTTCAGCTTCCTACAAGAGGCACATATTTGAGTGAGTTTTAATGACAGCCACTTCAAGAGGCAGGATTTCAGTTGTACATAACTTGAGCAGCTTATGCAAAGTATAGTATCTTTTTAATGTTGATTATAAACTGTGTGTACCTCCTCTTATATTGGGTTTTTTAACTTCTTACCTTTCTTTTTTTTTAAGATACTTCTGTTTTGTAAAGTCCTGTAGGAAAGCTTGTATTGCTCTGTAGATGTGCTTCATATGTTTAATTGCACCATACCACTTTCTGTACATAGGAAGGTCTTTTAGTCCTCAATTTTTTTTTCAGCTCCTATAGTGACTAAATTTTGTGTTCCCATTGCTGTTTGGCTTTAATTACTCTTACAAAGCTAACTGCTTTTAGAACATACGCATGTAGTAAACCAGCTCTTTCTGCCTAGCAAATATTTTTGGCCACTACTAGTTACCACTGAAATAGACCAGGAACATTTCAAAAGCAGTAAATTACTTAATAAATTTTACATGATTCATGCATCAGATTTTCTGTTCAGGATGATAAACAATCAGTGTTCTTTAGGGGATTCTTAGTAGCCTGGTATACAGCTTCTTTTCACAGATCAGCACCTTGCCAAGAAAAACACAAACCTTGTAGATTAAAGTGCTACTCTTGCTAGCGGCTTATTGGCAAAAACACTGCTGTGGATGTGATGGCTAATCAATCTAAATGCCCCTGTTACAAGATTCGGTACTCTGAAGTTCAGCTTGTTCTGTCAGAGTAATGCGTCTTGACATGCTAGCTGCTTGTAAATCTTTAATACTTGTTATGATTCTTTCAAAACTCCTGGGCATGTGACAAATATTTGACTGGCATCCATGCTACTGCCAGTGTTTAGTGAACTGGCTCCCTTACTGCATCTGCGGATAAGAATTTTTCATAATGGAGCCCAATCTTAATATACTCTGTCCCTTCACTACCAGTAGTCAGCATTGCCCTGGATCACCCAAGGCTTTGCAGAATCTGGCCCTGAAAAGAGAGCATACTAGTCCTGTCCTTGACACATGCAATCTCCAAAGGAGTCTCACAATGCCGACTTAAATCATTCCCTGTCCCCAACCTGCTCTGGCCTTCTGCGGGCCAAACTGCACTTTCATTTAGGTGATCCCATTGCTGTGAATGAAGGTAAAGATTATCTCTGTCTTTAGCCATTGCTTGCTGTCCACAGTGCCAACAGGTCAGTTCTGGAGTTAACACTTTAATTTGAAAAAAGCAAGTGAACTAATTTTTAGGAGCTAGTCAACAGTAATAATAAATACCTGATTTATATATGAAAAGAGCTTGTTTTTCTTAAGAACTGTAACTAGCAAAGGTATGAACTGAACAGCATACCTTGCGTATTAAGACTTCTATTTAATATTGTGTGACTTTTAAATCTTTCCATATAAATTATTTGCACACACTCTCCTTGCATGTTCAACTCTGATTTTTTTTTTTTTTTTTACAGCTGTTTCATGCAAACAGTGATGTATTTTTGTAAAATGTTTTTGACACTGAATTACAATAAATGTTCAAACAATGTGAATCTTGGAGTTGGTTGATTTGTTGTTTCCAAGTTGGTACATTTCTTGCAAATGAAAACCTTGATCACAAGACCATTTGGAGTTTAGACACTATGGGAATGAGTGCTGCAGAAATACCTTGAATGGGTAGATATGCTATTTTTAAGTTTAAAAAAAGAGTTCTGTATAACTGTCACACTTGGTAAAGCCAACAAAAAGTCTATAACTGAGTTAATTCAAGGCTCTATGCTTGTCTAGTACACAGGACTAAAACTTCACCTGAATGGAGTTTAACTGGCAGTTTCTAACCTGCTGTTCCCTCCTCAGAGATTGAAATGCAGGGTTGTTTGAGCAATAGATCTTCAGGATCCATTGGGCTGGAAGTCTTTAATTGAGCAAACCCCCAGTGGAAATCCAAGTTACTCCCACCCAAGTCAGGAGAGCATAATCTGAACCCAATCCTCTGATCTGATGGGAGGAATTTGTAAGAGGAATTCTGTGGCCTGGCGTTCTGACCCTTCAGGAAAAGGGGGAGACGCGTTTCAAGCCCTGGTTGGAACTTGAGCAAGACCAGTGCTTACTGAATTGGACAGAATTTAAATATACCATCTACCCAAATCCAAAACAACTTTGAATTTAAGATGATCTCCCTTGGTGTCTTCCCCCTGTGGTGCCTGCACCTCCTGCCCCCCTGTGTCCAGGTGCCTGCTCCCTGCAATCTCTGTTCCCTCTCGCATGGCTTACTGCCTGTTGCCACTCCTGCCCCATTCCAGCCCTGGGGAATGGAGCACATGGTAGCTCCAGCCCCAGCCCAGCTATGCAACAATGGTGGTGGCAGTAGCAGGTTGGGGCCAGTCGGAGATGTTGCAGCTGTCTACACCTCACTTTGTACTCAAATGCAAGATGTAAATACAGTATATACCCAATGATTTGCTTAATTAGCCCTAAAAATTAAGAAAATAGTCACTGTATCTAAAGCAGTGACTTTCACCCAGGGTCCTGGGGCACCCAAGGGTGCCACTGGATTGTTTGAAGGGTACAGCAGGAAGCATGAGGAGATAAGTGAGGTGTGAAGAACTTGATAGATAAGGGCAGGCTCAGAAATTCCTTGCCCATAAAAAGATCTAGATTTGTGAAAAGGGGGATAAAGATGGTGAGGAGCATCATCCTACAAAAAGCAATACATATTTTTATCCAGTTAAAAATAAACTAGAAGCTTTACTAATATGCTAGGGGCCTGGGGCTGTATTATGCCATTTAAGATTGAAGCAAGAACAAATATCACTTCGTTGGAATAAATTAAAAACCATCTGCAGGGCTGTGAAATAGGAACTTCATTACCAGGAGCAGTGAACAGAGAGCAGCATGGCAAACCAAAGGCTAGCTTGAGTGGTGGAGCATCAAGACCATTAGAAAGAAGAGAGGATCCTTAACGCCTGTGGAATGAAGAGTTTGGAAGGGATGAGGTAGATAATAATGAGCCAAGAAGTGAAGTGACTCCCTCAGGGCTTCCTAACCAGAAATGCTGCTGCAACTGCCAGGCAGTTGGTTTTAAACTTTGGGTGAAGCAGGAATCAAAGGTGGGTGCAAATGGACCACTGCAGTCCCCCTGGATCTGCCATTGTCCCTGCCTCCCTGCTGCCCTGCTCCCACTGCCCAGCCCTGCTGTAAGGAAGTGTAAGCAGCGTCACAAATGAGTTCGTTTTTGAAACCCGGTTCCACCCAATTTGCAAAGGTTGTGGAGGGGTGCCTCAAGTTTAAAAAAGTTTGAGGAGGACTGATCCAGAGTTAGACTGCTGAACGTAGTTTTGCAGATAGCTGCTACTTGCCTAGGGGTTGGCAACATTTTTGGTCGGTGTGCCAAAAACACCTGCAGCTTCAACTTGTAAGATGTTGGTGTGCTAGGGGTGGACAGCTGGGGAGCCAAAAGGGGTCCAATCCTTGTTCTTGCTGTATATCCCTGACCCCTTCCCCACCATCCACCCAGAGGCACACGTGCCAAGCAAAATGTCTTTGAGGGCCACACTGGTACCTGTGCTGGAGGTTGCTTGCCTACCCCTGTACTAGTCCTTTGATTAAGGATCTAGTAATTCCTCTTCTAACTTAATCGAATCTCAGTTGCAATACCTCTTACGTTCTTAAGACTTAAAGCCAAAGTGGACCATAAGATAAATCATGTAGTCTGACTTCCCTCCATATTGCAGATCATTACATTTCACCCAGCTATGATCTACTGAGCTGAGAACTGCAACTTTTTGCCTCTTTGTAGAGTCCTTATTTCAAATAAATACAAGCTGGAAGAAAGCTTGCTGAAAGCCTGCTCACTCCACCACTCCCTACCCTTCCCCCGCCCTCCCCCCATAGAAAACAATAATGTTTTAAGGAAAGCATCCTTCTTTGAAAAATGTTAATAGTTTTTCATCAGAACCCAAAAAGTGTGTGGGGGGATACATATATAATACACACGCACATACTTATGAAATATATATACATGAAATATAAAATACACGTAATACTTATATATAATGTAAAATATATAAATACATATATGGATTAAATATGTATATTTATATAATTTCCTATAAGTATACATATGATTTACATATAAAATCAATATTCCAACTTTTTTGACAACATTGGTTTTTCTTGTTTTTAACCAAAATTTTCTATGATGGACCATTTTTCCAAAGAGATCTACAAATAAGTTTTTCAAGCTTCTCTTGGATGCAGATCTGTCTTCCTTACTATCTCAAATCTTCAAAAGTGTTATTCCATGAGTTGGGTTTTTTAAAATAAATAATCTAATATGTCTTTAACATATTTTACTTGGATCATTTAAATCATGGTCAGAACTGGTCTGAGCTCATGGTGGGGAAAGGGAAAGGAATAGAGGAAAGCATGGATTTTGCAGCTGAAATTTCCCCCATACAGTACTTATGGATGCAAATTGCTCTTTCAGTCTTCATCAGCTTGTCTATCTCAGTTGCCTTTTACCAACATTGTTGTGTCTTTCTCATCATCATTGTTGCATCTTCTATCTTATTTTCTTCAATACAAACTATTTCAAAATTGGGTGAATATGTATGGGTGACCTTACTTAGTTAGAGATGTTTATCTAAGGAAATAAAGCCCAGATCATACATAATTCAGTGAGCCAAAACTTAGCTGATAAACCACAGGATCATAAGGTTAGAAGAGACATCAAGAGTCATCTGTTCCACCAAACCTCTTCCCTGGGCACCCTTACTCTTCTAACAGGAAGGAAGTTTTACTTGAACACTAACCTAAAAGCTAGAGTAATTACTTAAAGACTTTGCTGAATGAGAACCCTGGCCCACCAGAACTTTGACTTTGACCTTGAATTTAACCTGAGAAAGCCATTTGTGGTTCCTGTGCTGATTCTGTAGAGCACGGGTGTCCGACCCTTTGAGCAGGATGTGTGGCGCATGCCTGTCTATGGGCCAGCGGAGTAACACAGAATCAGCCTGTGGGTCTGATCTGACAAGTGGGTTCACCCCCCCGGGTGCAATCTGTCATAACCCAAAGGTATGATTTTGTGTGTGCTTTGGCACTAGAATTATCCCCGCCAAATTACAGCTTCGTTGCACGGTAGAGTTTTCTGCTGCAGAGGAGAACCCTGGTGCAAGGAAGGGTTTCCCACCTATTTGCAGCTTCCTTTGCAGAGTGCATTGCTCAAGTTGCAAGAGAAATGCACGGTGCAAAGGAGTTCCCGCCACCCGTATGCAAATTTGCGTCCCGCTATTGGCTAGTTCTAAATTATTCCCACGTGGCGGCTAACGATTGGCCTGCTAGCCGTATAAGAGGCTTGAGCAGTTTCCGCCCAAGCTGAAGAGGACTCCACATCCATCTCGTGGGGACTCTGGGTACACGGCAGGGTAATAGAGACCCTGTGTGAGATTCAGAGGAGTTTGGCGACCTGATCCATCACCCACCTCTTCCCGTCTTCGAGCGATAATTTAATAAGACGTATCTACGAAGTTCCTATTTTGGTGGCGCGCTTGTCCAGAGCATCCGGAGCTCTGTTTCCGTGGAGCCTAGCAAACTCCACGTGACCGTTCGTGTTGTTTTGTCTGTAACCGCAACTCAAGCAAGTTTTCCAGCCTGCACCGCAACCATCTCCGGTGTAAGTAAACAATCTTTAAATCTACCGCTACGAGTCTGTGCCTAATTCTAGCTTGACGCGTCCTCTCTCCGACCCCGCGTGCCCGGGCTGCTGGCCACAGCCCGCGCAGAGCACGAAAAAGGGCCCAGCTCACACCCAGCCCGCACACAATCCAGTATGCAGAACTAGTCCGTGAGCCTGATCCGGTGCACAGGGCCACATCATCTGGCCCACAGATCTCCCCAATGGTCCAGAAATATGGTGGTAAGATGAGCAACAGCAGTGTTAATTGCCGTGGTTCTGCCACCATTCCCCTTCCACTAAATTTCCAGACCCATGAGGAGCCCCAGAGGCTGGCTGACATGGCTCTGCAGGCTGGATCCAGCCAATGCACTTTACATTGTTTGCCTCTGCTGTAGAGCCCCATCCTGCGAGTTGTGAGGCTGGGGGGGGAAAGAGAGAATTGGTACCATCCCCTAGCTGAGCCTAGGGGGGCATTGGTTGGCAGGGTTACCTTTTAAATGATCCTTTACTAGTCTTTCCATAGATCCTTTTACAAAATGGAAGTATTCCCTTATTTTTATGTATATAACTTGAGTTATAAATCCAGATACATATGACTCCTATAAAGGGACTCGTCTTTCCGTGGAGTGGCTCATCAGTTTGTTTGTTTAGGGGTTATTTACGGAAAGCAAACTTGCTTAGCTCTCTGACGTCCCTGGAATCAAAATACCAGTTTTATTTCATTCTCTTTTCTTGCTTAAAGACAATTAAATGGTTCCCTTTTTAAAATAACTGGCTTATAGAACTAGGTAGAAACCTACAATCTTTCTTTCACCGTGCACGTTTTATATTTAAACCCTCTATTTTTAACCCAACGGTGGGATTAGGGTTAATGCT